CTCTCCCTGTTGCTTCCTTCTTGAGATGCCATGGTGAGGACCAAGCTGCCAGCCTACAGGCTCCAGCTTCAGCTGGGTGCTGGTGGCTAGATGGGAGGGAGCTGAGGAGGCTGTGAGAAACGCCGCCTCGGGGAGGAGCACAGAGGCCAAGCTGTGACACCCAGCACCCTCCCTCCTCCTCTCAGCACTGCTGTGTTTGTGTGGGCTGTTTCCTACCACTGAGCTGCCTGGGCTATGCCTTGCACAAGGGACAGCTGTGGGGAGGAGGTCCACGAAAAAACAGGGGTTGGTCCTGACCCTAAATGCCTGCAGTGCTGTGCTGCCAAGAGCAAAGAAGGCTCTAGAACCATCCTTCCCCCCCTCTGCCCAGGGAGCCTGCAGGAGCGCACAGACAATGCTGAACTCCCTTCCCCATGTGAGGCAGGCTCAAAGCATTTCCTTTAGCCATCACACAGAGGTGCTTAAATCCTTCTGCAGCCCCCATCAGCACAGGTCCTGACCCTCTCCAGGAATAGGTCTGGATGTCTGTAGCACCCAGTGGCTGAAGGTGTGAGCTGCTCCCATGGAGGGCTGTAAGCAGCTCCCGGTCCCACTGCTGAGCCGCACAGAGCCACTACTGATCCATGCCCCCCAGTACCTTCTCTGTGCTTTCTACCCCTTCACTTCAAGTTTGTTCTCTTTTCGCTGGAAAAGTGGGGTCAAGCTCCCTGTTACACAACTGTGCAGCCCACCTGCTCACCACAGGGACCACAAGGGGACCAGAGGTCCCTACATGGCTCTGTCCACTGTGCCTCTCCCACAGCATGCCCATCAGGGGGGCAAGAGCAGGGCGTCCCTCCCGTCTTCTCCAATGCCCAGTCCCTCACCACAGAACCTTGTGGCAGCAAACCAGCCCTGTGTGCCTGCAGACAATGGGGCTCCCCCTGTCCTCCCTCTGTGGGCCCCATTGCTTAGGGTTCTTTGGGTGGTTTAAAAATAAAAACAACTTAAAAATAATGGGTTATCTGAAGAACCAGCAGCCTCTGGCTGATCCAGGGATGAGGGCTGAGGGAATTGGGGACAGGGCAGGTGGCTGCAGTGGCCACTGACTGGCCCACAGGCCATCAGATGCAGGGAGCCTTACCTTGTGTTGCAGCAACTGTGTTACCCCCAGCAGCGGTGGGCAGAATGGACAGGTCCTCACTGTGTCCTCTGGCATGGTGACACCAGGGATGAAAGGATGGTGAGTGTCACAGAAGGATGCACTGACCCATCAAAGTGCAGTCTCCCTGTCCCCAGCGCAGCCTCCCCATCTCTGACCCAGCACATTCCTCCCCAGCTGCCCCTCTCTGCCAGGTGTGTAGTAGGGACAAGGAAGGGGTCGATGCGTGCAGGGCCACCAGACCCCATCCCTGTGCTGGTGGCTGCCCAGCAGTACTCACCTCCCCAGTCAGCCATCGCTGCCTCACTGTAACAGCAGAGGTGGCGAGCGGGTGAGCAAAGGCGTCCCCCCTAGATAATGTGACTTCCTGCCACTGTCACACCTCGGACAGAAGTGCATTGACGTGGCCACTGCGCTCAGTGCCACCAGAACTACACACTGTTGGGGTGTTGAAGCAGGGAGGGGAGCTGCAGCAGGCAACCCTGCACAATGGCTGGACAGGAGCTGGGATTCAGCGTGCAGAGGCACTGCCAGCACCCCCACCCCCTGCTCCAGTGCACTCCAGCACTCACAGATCACCCCCACTCCCTGCTCTGTGCAGCCCCAGTGCCACCAGCACCCAGCCAGCACCCTGACAGGTGGTTCCAGCACACTCCTAGCACCCACAAACCACCCTGACCCCCTATTCTGGCATAGCCCCACAGCCCCCAGCTCTGATACACCCAGGGCCCTGCGCCCCACGTCCTCGTGGCAGCAGGATGGATGCCGCCAGCTCAGAGTGCATCCAGGCCTCATGGCCCAAATGGTGCAGCTTGTCGTGGCACACCGCAGCACCTGGGATACCTCCCCCATCCCCAGCACCGCCCCAGCACTGCTGCCACACGCAGCAGAGCTGTGAGGCCGTGAGCCCTTGTGTTGCCCACGTCACATCACTTTCTACCACATGTCCCTGGGATGCAGCCCCCACCCTGGGTGCCCCGCACTCACCGAGCCCTTCCGGCTGGCCCAGACGGACAGTACTGTGCTGTGCTGTGCCTGCTGCCCCACGCCTGCCCCGAGCGGCCCAGCACCGCGAGTCGGGGCGGCAGTGGGGACGCAGCACAGGGACGGCGCTGGGGTCTGCCGTGCAGGGAGGAAGAACGGGGCCGGCCAACCCCACCCTTTCAGTTCCCCTTTTCTGAGTTTCTGACTCAAAGCAGCAGCTGCGTTTCCTCCTGGAGATGGCCGGGGCCACCTCCACACTGCTACCTTCACAGTGCCACCAGCAGGCCCGGGTGTGGGGACACGGCAGCGGGGGCACAGGGCAGGACGAGGGGTTGGGGAGAAGGGCTGGAGTGTGAGAACCAGGCCCGAGGCTGTGAGCTGGGCTATGGGGTGGGCAGCGGGTGGTATGTGTGAAGGGCAGGAGGGCTTCTCCTGCACCCCGTGTCCCTGCACCCCCGTGTCCCTCTGTATCCCTACTCAGCCCCGTTGTCGCTGTGCACCCACATCCCCTACTCCACCCAGCAGAGCCCACGGCCCACAGCCCCCAACCTCCTCTCTCCCATCCTCCTCCTCCCCTGCATTCCCCGTCCCTCCCGCCAAAAGGGGGCGCTGCGCTCCCAGCTCGCCTTCCTCTCTATGCTCCTCTCGCGTCTCCTTCCGCTTCCGGGTCGCTCCTTCTCTTCGGCTCACCAGCGGCAAGATGGTGAGCGCTAGCGGTGGCGGATTGCGGGTTCGCCTTTATCCGCTTCCATCCGTCTCCGCGGCGGCTCGTTCCGCCCTCCCGAGGCGCTGAGCGATGCGGGGGGCTGCTCGGCCGGAGGTTGGGCCGGGCCTGGGAGGCGGCGGGGGCCGTAAGCGCGGGGCGATGGCGCGGGGCCTGTCCTGGGCGGGGGGAGAGGGGCGGCGGGACGGCCGAGCCGCGCTCGAGCCAGCAACACCGGGGCGGGTTGGCGTCTGTGCGGTTTCTGGCTGTACTGATCGGCTTCTCCCTGATCCTCCAGGTGAACGTCCCGAAAACCCGCCGCACCTACTGCAAGAAGTGCGGCAAGCACCAGCCCCATAAAGTCACCCAATACAAGAAGGGCAAGGACTCTCTCCATGCCCAAGGTGAGGGCGGAGATGCTGTGGGCGGGGGGGCAGGGCCCAGGGGAAGGCAGTCTGTGCCGAGGGGATGCTTGTAGGCTCAGCACACGGCTGTGGTGGGAGCAGGGATTTTATGTGATCAGTTGTGCGGCTGGAGGTCGAGGTCTGCAGGTGGTTGGTAGGAATGCCAGCTGTGCCTGTAGCATATCTGAGCTACTGCCTCAATGTACCTGTTTCTTCCTGCAGGGAAAAGGCGCTACACAAGGAAGCAGAGTGGCTATGGCGGCCAGACGAAGCCTATCTTCCGTAAGAAGGTGAGTGCTGCTCCCAGAAGGAGGGCTTGAAACCTTCCACGCATCCTGCTGAAGAGGGACGCTTCTGCCTCCTCAGCCGTGGTGTGTTCAGACCACACTGTAGCAGCTCCATGCAGGTGGAGCTCTCTAGGAACATGGTTTCCATCCCAGGCTGCTCCTCGTTCCTCATTGGGTCCCCTCTTTCTTACAGTGGAATGATGCAGCTTGTTTTTGCAGAGAAGCTTCTGTGTGGAGCCTGATGCTTTAAGAGAACACAGTTTTAATGGACATAATGCTTTTAATGAAAGAAATTGTTGAAGCAGCAGTAGGAGTGGTGTGTTTCGTAACACGTGCTGCTGTCTGCCTTCCTCCTCAATTTATGGAGTGCCTGGAACTGTAGTCATATAGCATGTTTTCCTTCTGTGCTCCCCCCTACCTTCTGCTAAGGGATGGGTGCTGAAATCTGTGCTGTTACAGCAGGGAAGCAAAACCTGACAGCCATTTGCTGGAGCAACTTTCCTCCTGTGCTGACCTCTGCAGGAGACCAACCCTGCCCCAGTAAATCCTTTTGCCAGCGTTCTTTAAAAACACCAGTAGGCAAAGGAGCAGACCCACTCTTTACTGGTCTTTAAGATACATTTTTGTGTTTAATGGAGCAAGTCAGCTGTGTTTAGTCTCTTATTATGTTTTGAGAACAAGCTGATGAATCTTCTAAGGGTAGAGATAAGCAGCTTTTCCAGCAGTTGATCTGCTTTTGGACACTTTGTTTGCTCATGCACTGCTCCTCACTTCCCAGGCCAAGACCACAAAGAAGATTGTGCTGAGGCTGGAGTGTGTGGAGCCCAACTGCAGGTCCAAGAGGATGCTGGCAATTAAGAGATGCAAGCACTTTGAACTGGGAGGAGACAAGAAGAGAAAGGTATGTGCATGTACCAAGGCTGGCCAATGATGGAAAAATCATCTGGGTGGGTATGAGCACAGCTGTGGCTTTGGGGAGAGCACTGCCAGCAGCACAGGCTGAGCACTCCCTAAGTGCTGAGTGAGGCTCTGTATCAAGGGGAGGATTTTCAGCAACATGCAGCAGCCTGCCTGGAGTGGCTGCAGGAGGGACAGACAGCAGGCTGTGTGCTGCCAGGGTTGGGACAGGGCAAGATTCAGTGGTGAATAAACTCACACTCATCTCTTCCTTCTTATAGGGCCAGGTGATACAGTTCTAAGCTGCATCCTACTCATTTTTGGACCATATTAAAGTATTTGGAAGTGATCTGTTACTTGGTTTTGTGTATTCTGTGCTGCTGGTGGGGTGAGGCTTGCAAGTACACTAACCCAGCAGGAAGATGATCCTTGCAAAGGCAGCATTTCTTCAAAACCTCTTGTAAGCTAGGATCTCCCTCCTTGCTCCAAGAGGTGTGTAATAGATGTAGAGTGCAGGTGCATCAGATCCACTTTACTGGGTGTTGCTTCTGGTAATCATGATGATTTTTGTAAGAACAGTGACCTGTTTTCCAAAACTTGATTTAATTTTAGCTACCATGGTAAAACGTACAGGTAGGCCTGCTTAGGAACACTTCAGTTGGAGTTGTAAACACAAACATTAGGACAAATCAAGGCATCCAGATTGTGCAGTAGCCTGGAAACAAGGGTTAAGTGTCTGTATCCTGCACCAGAAGGACCTTTAAGCTAAAGCAAGCAGTTATTTCTGGAAGGGAGCTCACTAAGGAAGGATTCCCTAGGGGCCCCATGAAGGGTGGCGTGGGGAACTGTCATCTAAAGGGGCAGCCATTGATGAGAGGAAGACTTGTGAGACTTGAAAGCCTCAAAGCTCAGCTCGGAGGCATCACACTTGATCACTTTAAGCAGATGGCTGCAGAGAAATCAGCTGCTAAGAAGCGCTGTGATTTAGACCAGTCCCTGAGCTCAGGAGGAGGTGCCCATTCTGAGGACGGCGTTGAGTTTTTTCCAGCAGGAACAGCTTTTCACAGTTGTGAACTAAATGTCCACAAGTGCTCCAGCCTGCCAAAGCACACAGCACAGCAGCTGGGCTGCACTGCCCTTGTGTGCCTGAAATGCTGAAGAGCTGTAGAACGCTGCGTGCACCTCTTGCAGATCTTTGGTCGTGGTGGCAATGAGTTGTTGTTGCCCTGCTGGGGGCCTTGTGACCCCTTGGGAAAGGAGAGATGGGTGAGATGCCAGAGAAAGGGTAACAGGAGAGAAGCAGCACCTTTTTCTGCTGCCTCATGGTAATAAGTCACAGGCATTTGTTACAGTAGGCAGAAGGTTCAGCATCCAGAGGCTCTCAAGCAGTGAATGCTCTAGGACAAGAAGTGCAGAACATGAGGCTTAGAAAATAATCCCACCTCCTACAGCGGCACTACTTTGAGCAGCACAGTGCCTGTGGGGTTCACTTCTACACTCAGGGAGGAGACCCAGTTGTGAACCCCCCAGTCCCTGCTGGTTGGCAGGATCTGCTGGATGCAGCACGCTGGGTTGCAGGCCAGCCCATTGCCGAGGAAGGAGAGGGAGAAGGTGAAGTTCTGGGGTCCCCCAATTTCCTGCTGGTTTAGGACCGCCACGGCGTAGGCTCTGTCAGACAGGGGCCGTTCCCACAGCTCGAAGTTCTTGTCCTGCCAAGAAGAAAATAAGCCACAGGCTTGCATTAGGGAAGGCAGAACCAGCTGTCTTTGTGCCTGCACAAAGCAGGCTTCAGGAACAAATGTGTTCCCAAACCCTGGGTGCTTTGTCCCAGACCTCCAGCGCCCGCTTTCTGAGGAAGCCTGCAGCCCGTGTTCCAGAGCACAGCCCCAGCCAGGTCCTGCTGTACCTTAGTGATGCGATAGCCCTGCTTGCCCAGCGGATCCTGGTTGATGGCGATCACCTCCTTGTTCTGGAGCAGCCCCTTGGCCTCCGGTTTCATGTGCCGCAGGTCGTTGGACATGAAGAGCGGCGCGGCCATGATCGCCCACATCGCCATCTGAGTCACCGCCTGGTCCCAGCTCAGCCCAAAGTTCCCAATCACCAACTGGGACAGGAAAAGAAAAACGCCTCCTAACGCTGCTTGCCAAGGAGAAACTGGGCCAGCAGGGAAGTGCTGGGAAGCAGCAGGATGCTAAGGGTGGTGCCCTGGTTGGGGACTGGTTGGATGGGCTGAGCTCTAGGAACAACACCAGCTGGCTGCAGATTAGCATGGCAATTCAGCATGAACCAGTGGTGGAAGTAAAGAAGGATCCTTACCTGGCAAAGCAGCATTCAAGAGCCTGCTCCTAGATGCAGCTATTCATTCCTTGCTAGCACCCAGCTTGGCACGGCACCCAAGGTTTTTTTCCCCCCTCTGATAGGAGTTGCACATCAGAGACTTTCTCCGATTCATATCTGTGTTTGTTAGGGACTGGCACTGCTTTATAGGCTGCAGTACAGCCTATGCAGTGCTTCTCCTTCTGCACCCAGCTGCTGTGTGCTCAGAGTGCTGTTCTGCTGCTCTTTTCCATTTAGGGATCCCTCTCATCAAATGCTTAATCCTAGGACTCCATCAGATCCTTTCCCCCAGTGTTTCTCCTCCCAGTCTCTCCCTCCCCACCCATCTCAGGCTACAGCTAAGGAAACAATTTTCTCCTGCTGCTGGAAGGGTGTTGCTCTACTTGCCATGTCAGGGTCATTCCAGCCCCCAGGCCCAGCTATCTTCACAATGCTGTCCTGGTGAAGTGCTGTCCACTCCACGATGCTCTTGATGCTGTTCCAAGAATCATAGACATCATAAAAATTCCTCCAGTGATTGCAATACTGTTTGATCTCCGTGTAATTGGGCTGCCAAAACAATGAGTGTGGTTAGCCAGAGAGCCTGACTGTACAAGATGGAGACTGTACACAAGGCATCAGGGATATTGTGGGAGAGAACTTAGCTGACAGTGGATAGTATTCCACCTGAACAATGCTGGCTCCCTAGGATGCCTTGTACCCACCAGCTCTAGTCTGCCACATTCCAGACAGCACCATCCCAATTGTTTCCCTTGGGAGAACAGTTGCAGCCACCTAGCTCTGTTAGAAAATCTCTACACGTGCTGTTTTACCAAAGAGGGGATGGGACCAGTGGGATTAAACTGTGTCATCCTATTACTGTCACAGTAATTACTATTTCAGTAATCACTGCTGTTTCTCAGGTTTACTCCCTTTGGTGACTAATGCATCTATCTCTCTGGGAGGGAATGACCACATCCTGTCCTGGTGCATGGGGGAAGGCAGCTGTGGGTGGAGAGCAACACGGCACTCACAGACCCTGTCCAGCAAAAACCCACATGTAAACAACACAGAGCATTCCTGTTCAATAGGCTGCCCTAAAACTCTCATTCCTGTCCCTCGAGGTGGCTGTTAGGCTGAGCAGAACATCCAGGAGGAATAGCAGCAAGCTGCCTGCTAGCTGCATCTGCATCTCCAACATCTTGATGCTCAGCTCCCTGAAGAGGGAAAGCAGATGGATGCTGCTGATCTTGAGCAAGCTCCAGCTGGGCTGTGCTTCCAGCAGCTTGTGCTGCAGAATCCTGCTACGCTCTTTTCAGCAGAGAAGCGACTTGCCTCAGGTACACCTCAAGGCTGTAGAGGAAAAGTGGTTTTCCTCTGCCTTGCAGTCTTGTTCTCCATCGGACCGGAGACCAGCAAATTCCTTGGGAGGCTGCTATGAAGTGCTAATGCCTTTCTGTTCTTCCCACTGTGAGCCCTGAGAAATGCTCCCTACCTGCTGCACAGGCCTCAGGTAGAAAGGCCATTCACAGGAGTACACGATGGGTCTGCCAGTCTTGTTGAGGGCCAGAGACATGTTCCTGTAACCTAAAAGAAGAGAGGTTACCCCATCTCCTTGCTCAAGGAAAGGAACTAAACCAGTGCCACAGGTTCAGGTTTCAGCTTGACTCTTTTAAAAATCAAGGCTGAACATACTCTCATGACTCAAATAATAAAGGGAGGAGAGAGGAGCTCGTAGTGACAGCCAGTCTCCTGCCCCCAAGGAGAGGTGAGCTGCTACATGGCTTTGCTATTTGTCCCAGGCAAATAGTCTGAGACTGCTGACCTCTACATCACCCACTACCCTGCTTTCAGCTGGGATAGAGGACATGGATGCAACCCTAGGAACAGGCTGCAGCTTTGCTGTGTGGTGTATTTTCCCTCTAGAATCATAGAATCTTTTGAATGGGAAGGAACCCTTAGAGGTCACTGAGACCAACTCCCTGCACTGAGCAGAGACACCCACAGCTCCATCAGGTGTTCAGAGCCCTGCCCAGCCTGACCTCGAATGTCTCCAAAGACAGAGCACCCACCACCTTTCTGAGCAGCCTAAATACAAGTTGCTATCTTACCGAGCAACTGGGTACAGCACCAGTGGTTAACATTGTGGGAACACGTCCTTATGATGCATTTGTGCCATATGGACTGAGCAGGAATAAAAAAGGCACTAGTTTTGTCCTGTCCTTGTCCTCACACAGCCCTGTTAAGTCCCTTCCAATCAGCAGAGAGGGAAGGGAGCTTTTGCTCTCTCTCCTGGAACTGCTTCAGTACCACTGGGTTGCACCTGGCTTATCCATCTGATCCAGCCAGCTTCCAGCTCAGCTGTCGCCTGCGGTGCTGAGCTGTGCTCCAGGCCCCAACAGCCAGCACACATTGGACCAACTGGCGTGGAGCTGACTGTCACTTGGACAGGTTCTCTCTGCCAGACAGCCAGGAGAGAGTGCAGGATTCCTGCTGCCAAACACTGCGCCAGCAGGGAGAGCCCAGCCAACAGAAAACCAACTTCAGAGCCACATTGTTCTTCCTGCAAATCTGCACCTGGGGCACCGGGGTGTGCAGTGCTTGGAGGGGGTCTGCAGCCAGGAGCTCTGAGCACAGCACTGAGCTCTCTACTGCTGACCCACCAGCCTGTGCATAACAACTTCGGAAACAGCATTCATGAGGGCACATTTAGAAGTGAAAATCCCAATAGGTTTGTTGTGCCAGAATTCCCTTCTATTTTTTTCCTGCTAACAGCCCTGATAACTGCCCTTCCTACTGCAGATACAAGTTATTCTAGCTCAGAGCTGATCCATTATGGCACAGCTTCAGCAAAGGGATTCAGTGTCAAGCATGCGAAATGCTTTTGCTCTGCAATGAAAGCACTCCAGAAGTGCAAAGCCTTTGTGGTGCTAAGAGCTGACACGGCAGTCTGCAGACAGCCCCCAGAGAACGCAGACAATACTTCTGTGCTCAGCACGACGCAGTCTCTGGTGGGAGAAAGCTGCTTTCTCAAGCCACGCCTGAAAGCTCCGGGAGTCAGAACAGCCAAAAACCACTTGGGCCAGCAATATGCGCTGCCCTGGAGAGAGAGCAGCCTTGCACTTGGGAACATTGCGTGTAAGCTAATCCCTCAAATGTGTACAGTCAGGGAAAAGCATCTCTCTGGAGCCCACCCCTTGGCTGGGGATTGCTGACACCCGTAGAACAGCCCCAGCTGTGCCCCACCTGCTCGCATACCTTCTGCCAGCAGCCCCAGCGAGTCGGCGTTACAGCCATCAAACTTCACCAAGTCCACACCCCAGGAGGCAAAGGTCTGTGCGTCCAACTCGTAGTGCCCATAGCTGCCGGGGAAGCCGGCACACGTCCTGTTCCCCACGTCACTGTAGATCCCCAGCTTCAACCCTTTGGAATGGACCTGAGCTCAGCAGGCAGAGGAGAGGCCGTTGAGTCACGCGGTTCCCTCACAGCCCCCCCCCCCCCTCCGCTCCTCGCACTCACGTAGTCCGCCAGTGCGCGGATACCGCCGGGGAAGCGCCGGGGATCCGCCCGCAGCCGGCCTCGTTCGTCCCGCGTTGGCGCCATCCAGCAGTCGTCGATGCAGACGAACTCGTAGCCCGCTTCCTTCCAGCCCTCCGCGACCATCACGTCGGCCATCTCGGTGAACAGCCGCTCGCTGGGGCCGGGGGAGCAACGCGGGGGGGGACGCTGCAGCTCGGGCCGCAGCCCCGCAACGCAACGCCCCGCTCCCAGCACCGGGACCCCGGCTCCCCCTACCCCATCCCATCCCGGTACCTGACGCAGCTGTCCGGCTCAGCAGCGCAGTCGGTGCCGCAGAGGAAGCGCTCCCAGTGCAGCCAGCCCATGGGCGGCGTCCGCGCCACGCCGTTATCCAACGCCACAACCGCCGCCGCCGCCACAGCGGCCACCAAGGCCCAGCGCACCGCCGCCGCCATGACACCCGCTGGCCTCAAAGTCACGTGAGACGGGAGGTCGATCACGTGGCGGGGTGATCACGTGCCCCTGCGCAGGTGGTTGCGCCGCGGAGCTGCGGCCTGCTCCTCCGCCGCCGTGGGGTGGCGCCGTGCCGTGTAGGCGCAGTCCGGCCGCGCCGTCCCCACGCGCTGCTTTCCATCCCAATGCTCGCAGCCCACCCGGCACCCACAGAGCGCCCCACAGCACCGTGCGCAGGGCGCAGAGCTCAGGGCTCCGTGTAATGGGCTCGGGGCCCGCTCCGAGCTGCGGGTGTCTGGCGGGGGGACGGGGCCTGGCAGAGCCGGGCCGTGTCCTCGCACGGATCGCGGTGTTACGGTGAGGCCCGCATCCTGCTCGCAGCCAGCCGGAGCTCCGTGCCCTGAGAGACGATCCCCAGCAGGGCCGGCCCAGCGGGCTGTGAGGTGACAATCTCTGCAAGCTCTGTTGTCACGCAGCCCCCGGAGCGGCCTCCTCGCTAGGTGTCCTCCGATCTCCGCTCTCGTGCGCCCAGGGAACAAAAGACTTTCAGAGACCGCGGTCAGATAATGGCACTTTGTTTGGGCGCGGGGTCCTCCCCCTGCCCTGGGGGGCTGCAGGGCACGGCTTCTCTGAGTGGGACAAAACACACCACAGAACTTCATGGCTTTGTTTTTCTTATGCCAAGCCACAGTCCGGTGCTGGGCTGCTTTCCATATTCCTGGGGCTGCGGGGCACTACAGATCTGACCCTTGCTTGCTGCCAAACCCCAGCACTCCCTTGCTCGTCCCTTCTATTTGGGGACCATCCTTGCAGCTCTGCTGCGCAGGTGTTGCTGTTCCCCAGCCCCATCCCTGAGGGTTGAGGATCAATAAATTCTTTACTATGAGAATGGTGAAGTGCTGGAACAGCTGCTCAGAGAGGTTGTGGATCCCCGTCCCTGGTGGAGTTGAAGGCCAGGATGGGGCCTGGGGCAGCCTGGTCTACTGTCAGATACAGAGGTTGGTGGCCCTGCCTGTGGCAGGAGGTTGGAGATTCATGATCCTTGAGGTCCATTCTAACCCAGGCTGTTCTGTGATTCTGTAATAAAAGCACAGAGCAGGGCCTTTACCCCCCAGCACCCATGGGTGTGCAGTAGCAGGAGGCAAGTTGCATGCATCTGCAGCTGCTGGGCTGTAAGTGCTGTGCTGGCAGGCGCTCAGAGAGCCGCCAGTGCTGATTATTCTGATTTTACTTTCCAGGAGTCACATTACCCCAACGTAACTCCATTAGCTTCCATTTACACCGGCAATTAACTCCGCCGCCGCTGCTGGTCCTGTGCCCACTGCTGCTTCCCATAGCGGCTGGGACGTGTCCTGGATGTGCAGCATCACACAGGAGAAGGAAAATTGGCTCCATCTGAAGTCCGTGGGCTTTGCCAGGGGATGGCTGCTACCCATGCTGCACCCCCAGCCTGGGTGAGCCCTGGGGCATGGGAACTCGCCGGGACCACGGGCTGGAGGGGCTTCCAGCTCCACTGTGGCTGCTGGGAGCTCTGGTAGGGGCTGGGTGCTGCTGCTGCTGGCCCCCAAAAGGTGCCCAGATGTGCTTCTAGGGCTGTGGGGCAGCAGTGCTCCCCTAAGAGTCTCCCACCACGGTGCCTGAGTGAGGACTCCCTCTGCTTGGCTGCAGCCAGGGCATGCCATTGCTGCAGGTTGTTTTATGACATGTTGGTTTTTGGCAGTTCACTTTCTAAAATTCTTCCTTTTTCCTTTCTTTTTGGGAAGTGTCTGTTCCTACAATCAAGGAATGGGGCTGCCCCCCCGCTGTTCTCCCCTTTGAAGCCCCCAGGTACCCAGACCTGCTGCTGAGTAAGGAGAGCAGCGAGGGCAGGAACACAGGAGCGCCGCAGGGTTTTGTTTCTCCCACCAAAAGAACAAACCAAGCACTGAGCTGCAGGTCTCCGCTTTGCTTTCTCCCCTCTCCCTCACAAAAACCTCGCTGGGGCTCGACAGTGTGATGGGGCTGCGAGGTACAGGGCACCCAACAGAGCCGATCTGTGAAACTTGGCTGGGAGCACAGAGGGAGATTGATGTTTGCTTACGAGACTGGCCGTCAGCTGTGAGCTCTGCCTGCCTCCACGCCAGCTGGGGATGGGAGCGCTGGCCCAGGGTGGCACCGCAGGGTTGGCGTAAGCGCCCAGGACAGCTGGCAGCTCTCTGAGGCTGGCGCCTGCCCAGCAAGCCAAGGGAAGGATGGGACATTCAGCGTGTGTAGGTGTCCAAGCTCCACCATGGGGCTGGAGCCCCACCCAGCTCCACGTCTGGCCATCTTTGGGTCCTGTCCCCAAGGCAAAACCCCGTCAGATAAATGGAGACAACAAGGTCTGGGCGTAATCTCAGGGCTCCCAGTACCGCAAGGCTGGTGCACCCACATCCTTCCTGCAGCTGGGAGCTGCTCCAAGACACGGGGTTCTGGGCAGAGAGAAACCCCCAACACGCTGCTGAAAATCCCAGACAGACTTTATTTGTGTAGGAAGATCAATGCTTTTTAAAATCCCACCTTTGCTGGAGGTTTGATTGGCCACCGTGTGCCTGCAGGTGCCAGCACCTCTCTGTTTGGGTCTGTGGGTGGGCAGTGGAGACCTGTGCCTCCAAATGGGCTTCCCCCAAAAAACTGATCTCTCAAGGCTGTTCCTGGGACAGTACAGTGGCAGTGGCCATGGGATGGAACCATCTTCACCCATCCTGGTGGAGCCCTGGTGTCTCCTCTGGATGCTTTTTCTCTTGGGGATCATGGGGATGCTTGCCTCATCTGTGAAATGAGTGCGTGTGGCTCAGCAGGAGCTGAGAAAGTGGGTGCTGGGGGCTCCTGGTTACTGAAGAGAGGGAGAGGGCAATTCCTGCTTGAGGAGCAGGGAGGGAGGCTGGGGCTGAGGGTGGGATATCTGCCCGGACTGCACTGCCCTTTGTTTGTGTCCCCTGCCATGGTGCCTGGCACTTTGCTGTGCCATGGTGTTCCCAAGGCTGCTGAGGAAAGGGGCAAATCCCATCTCCATCCTGCCCACAGAACTTGTGGGGCTGCAGCAAAGTACCCCGTCAAAGATATGTGCCCCACCTGGGGCTTGCTGTGAGTGGGGGAAAGGAGAGCATCAACACGTTTTTCTCTGTAGGACCGACGTCAGCATCACCTACTGTTTTTATTTGCTGCTAAGCATGGAGGATATCCAGGTCTGGAGGTCTGGAAGCCTTGCTGAGTTTTTAAATTGAGGGTTTGGATGCTGTCCTCTCTGGTGGAAGAGCAGATGGAGTGAGCCCACCCAGGGACAGCCTGGGGCCAAGGGAGAAGTCAGGGGATGGGGTCAGCAAGGCTGGGGCTGCCCACCATCTCCCACCACAGAGCTGTGGGCTGTGCAGGGGGAGAGGAGCACAGCCCTTGCCCAGCTCACTGCTGTCTGTGGCTCGGTGACACAGCAGTCTGACACCCGCTCACAGCCTCCAGGCACATGGCAGCATCCAGCCAAGAGGTCCTTGGGCCTTTTGGAGGCCTCAGGGCACCGGGTGGATGTCCTCTGAGCGCAGCACTTTGTAGACAACCCAATAGAAGATATTGAAGACCAGGAAGGTGAAGGGGAAGACGGCTCGGGAGATGGTGTCGATGCGCTTGGCACGGTCGACGTAACGCCTGCGCAGGGTCTCCCCTTCCCGCAGCAGTGCACTGGCTGGGGGGGGGCTGTAGATTCCAGGACCCTCCCCAGCCCCATCCTTTGCCTGCAGGCAGTGGCCCAGCCCGTAGCCTCGGAAGTAGAAGCGGCTCTCACGGATGAGCTCTTCCTCCTAGAGAGGGAAAGTGCTGTCAGCCGGGCACCCTGCAGGGCACAGGGCTGTGCTGCACGCTCCGTGTGTGTGCCAGCAGTGGCTGTCTGCTTGGGTGGGTGCCAGTGCAAGGTTTGGTGCTTTTCCTGCACATCTGAGGCGTGCAGGCAGAAGCCCAGAGGAGCACAGTCTGAGGTACGAGGGTGTCCAGTGAGCACCTGCCTGCCAACACGTCGTGCTCTAAACTGCCCCCAATGAATCTGTGGGCAGCTCCAGAATCCTCAGCATCCACTTGGGTGCCTGGTGTGGGGCAAGTGGGCCCACGGGGGTGAGGGGTGCATGGGAGGATGCAGATTGGATGGGGGTGTGTGGCATACAGAGGTGTATGGCACACAAGAGTGCAGAGCACACAGGGGTACATATGGGGCACAGAAGGGCGCTGTGAGCATGGGGGTGCTGGGGGTGCAGGCACTGTTGCAGCAGCTGCTTGCTGAAGGGTGGAGGTGTGCTGGTGAACAGTTTGCTGGGGCAGAACCGTGCAGGGATGCAGGAGCCTCGCTGCCATCAGGGACCCCCAGTCCTCTCAAATGCCAGGGCTGCTTGCTGGGTGACAAAGGATGGATGCAAGCAACGGAGGCCCTGTCCTCACCCTCCTTGCTGCCTCCCCACAAGCCAGCAGTGCCTGCGCTCCTCCCCACCAACAGCTGTGCTTCATTAGTGAGCTGTTTCATTAGGGAGTCACATTGGCCCAGCTCATTTACACTCTATGTGCGTCCATGGTGTCCCCACTTGGAGCTGAGGACATCCCCTTCATTCCATGCCCACAAGCAGTGTGGGTTTCGGGTCTCCATGCCTTCTCCAAGCAGCGCTGCCCACCGAGGTGCACGGGCAAAGAGCTGCATCCTGCCCTGCATGGGCACCCAGCAGCCGGGGGCTCTCATGCAGAGAGCTGGGGATCTTTATTTAACTCAGCACTCTGCCGGCTAAGCAAGATTTCCCAGCGGGGAGAAGCAGCAGAGGCTGAAATTGCTGAAATGCGCTCTCGTGTGCCGCTGAGCTGCTCTGCCCTGCTGCAGAGTGCTGAGGGCACAGCAGGATGGGGGCTCAGAGAGAGCTGCAGCAGCCCTAGAAATGCACAGTTGGGATGTCCTCATCCCCCAGCATCTCCGCCCAAACTGGGCAGCCTGCCCTGTGCCACCACTCCCTGCCGTGTCTCCTCCCCACGTCTCCAGCTGCCAAGTGCCCACGCATGCTGAGCCACTGCAGGGAGAGGAGATCACTGCGCTGGCTGATCTGGGTAGGCAGAGCCCCCACCCTGCTCCAGGTGCTGTCAGGGAGCTGAGGAGCTCATCACCCCAGCATGGTTCACTCCACTGCAAAGGGGGCGGCCTTTGGCCCCATTCTACAGCAGGGGAAACCGAGGCACAGAGCAGGGTGTCTCCAAGGGGCCGGTGAATTATACCTCTGGTCCCCACGGCCACGTGCCCCGTGCACATCCCTGCCCTGCTCCTTCCTGCACCCTCACTTGTGGGAAGGGCTCCTGGGTGCTCCTTTTGGGGAAAAGGGGGGTGCAGGGGTGCACTGCCGGAGGGGTGTGCTTTACCCTGGAGCTGGAGAGCTGCGAGAGCGTCGCGTAGGTGTGCTCGCCGCTGTGCAGGCTGCTCGACTGCCCCAGGGACTCCAGGCTGGCCGTCCCGCTGCTCAGGCCCTTTTGGCACCAAACAGAAACAGGACAGCACGTGACCGACGGCTCTGCCCCTGCTGTGGGCAGAGAGCAGCCGTGGGGGGAGAGCAGCCCCTCCGGCAGCACAGCCTCTGAGCCAGGGGGCACTGGGAGCCTGGGGGAGACATCCACAGGGCTTTCACATGGAGGTCTGCATCTAACAGTGTCACCATATGGCTGGGCAGGCACCAGCTGCTTTTCCTGAGTGTCACATGGGAAAGGAAAAGAAACCCTTGTTTCTTCTCCTGCCTTTTTTGAGCGGAGCATCTCCCAGGGCGGGAGGAGAATGGCACCCATCTGGGGCCGTGCACCACATCTACTCCCTGTCCAGAGCACGGTGCCTCCCTGCAGCCAGTGCCAGGCTGTCCCCCCACATTGGGATGGGCAATGTCAGCCTGCTCCAGGGGACAGGAGTTGGACTCAGTGATCCTTATGGGTCCCATCCAATTCAGGCTATTCCATGGTTCTGTGATTCTGTGACCGCGCGGCTCAGCTCTGGGCATCCCGCAGGGCAGGGAGATGCTCTGGGCTCCCTGTGCTGCCCGGCAGGCAGAAGAACTGCAATGCCCACAGCTCCCCAAGGTGCCATAGGAGACAGCCCTGCAGCCCCGGGGCTCCCCCTATCATCTTAGGGACACGTGGTGACAGCAGCGGCCGCAGGCACTCACCATCCTCTGCCTGCGCTGCCGCCGCCGCAGGCGCATGAACTCCTTGTGCTGCCGAGAGACAAAGTTGACGGCGGCGTATTCCAGCAGAGCAGCAAAGACAAAGAGCAGACAGACAGCCATCCAGATGTCAATGGCCTTCACGTAGGAGACCTGCGAGGGGAGAGGGATCAGAGCTGTGGGGCTGCACCCCTCCCCACAGTCACAGCTCTCAGAGGTTCTCCCCAGAGCTGCGCAGTTCAAAGCTCCAGGAAGCCAAGTTCTCCCGAGGAGAATCCCTGGTGCCAGATGGCTTTGAGTCGTGGTTCCACTGGAAAAAAAGAACAGGATAAGACCCTGTAATTGTGCCATCTCTGTTGTTGGTCCATGGATATTGGGAAATACTGGATGTTAGGAAATGTGTGGACTCTGAAAGAATGGTGATCTAGGCTGCCCGGGGAGGTGGTGGGGTCACCATCCCTGGAGGCATTCAAAACTGTGGAGATGCAGCACTGAGGGACATGGTCAGTGGGCATGGTGGGGGGGGCTTGGGGATCCTAGAGGTCTTTTCTAGCCCCCCAGGGCCAGCATTGTGCCCACAGCACTGACCTTGGGCAGAGAGGCACGGGAGCCGGCGCTCTGAGTAGTCATGGTGAGCACAGTGGTGATGCCCAAGCCCACCCGCGCTGGTGCTGCATCCATGTTGATCCAGAAGGACACCCAGGAGAGGATGACGATGAGCAGGCTGGGGATGTACATCTGGATCAGGTAATAGCCCATCTGCCTCTCCAAGTGGAACTTCACCTCAATGCAGGTGAACTTGCCTGCAAGAAAAATCCAGCCTTGTGTGGGTGAGGGGGTCTGTGCCACGCCGGGGGGCAGTCAGGGGTTTCTGGGGGTCTCACCTGTGTTGTAGTACTTGGTGCAGTAGCCCAGGTCCTTCTCGTCCCTGAGAATGAACTGCGGCAGCGTCAGGCCCTCTGCCACCTGCACGGCCTCCTGCTCCTCCAGCCACTCAAAGATGAGGTCGTTCATGGTGTAGCCAACTGGAAAGGTGACAGATGGAGCCACGGGTCAGTGGGGATATGAGCCCATTCATCCCCACCCCAAATGACCTCCCCTTTCCTGCTCAGCTCCCCCAGAAACACAGAGATGCTAGCTTTTGGGATGGGACAGCATGTGATGGGATGCCACGGGATGAAGCAAGGCTCAAACGTCCCCGGGCACTCACAACTCTCCAGCTGCATCGTGCACGTCTGGATGTCCATGGGGAAGTTCTTGAGATCCATGGGGCAGGACAGGATCAGCGTCAGCCTGCAGGAGGCAGACAAAAGAGAGACTGGCTGAAAGATGCCCAACGGGACCGAGAGACAAGCCCTGCGCCAAAGGAGAAAGGCTCAGCACCTGATGCTGTAGAGCACGTTGCCGTTCTTGAAGATGCGCAGCAGTTTGTTGTCGGTGGTGACCTCGTGGAAGTTGGCCCCTTTCTCATTGGCGAAGAACAAATCTGGCTTCCAGATGGAGTCGAGCATGGAGGGGTCGAGGTCGAGCGAGTCGTCGGGGTACTCGCGGTAAGCCAGCCGGGGGTCGTTCCACTGCTGCCGCAGGAAGACGTTCACACGGTAATCCTGGGCAGAGGGCACTCGTCAGTGGGAGCCCCACAGGGCCGGGGGGAAGAGGAGGTTGATGGTCTGAAGGCTTTGCAGCAGCACAAATAGGCTTTATAGGGCTTCCCCAGTGCAGATCCTCGTGCATTTGAGGATGTTGGGGGGAGCAGCCTGTCACAGTGCTCCGGCTCCAGGGGGATCTGTGTGAGCCCTGAGCACCGACACAGCCCTGGCACTGACACACACACACACACACACCAGGCAGCATCCCCTGCAGAGGAGCCTACTGCCAAACCCTCACCATGGTCGTCTCGGTGACGGAGCCGAAGCTGTTGATGAAGATGTTGCACGTCACGTTGACGGGTGGACCTGGAAAACAAGCAGGCAGTGTGCAGCTCTCACTGCTGACCAGCACCATGTTGGTGTGGGCACAGACCCTGCACCCTGTGTGTGCTGAGCAGCCCTGTGCCCACTATGGTCACCCCTTGGTGCATGTAGGGGAACCCCCCGCACTGCCGTGGGAAAGCAGGCACAGACAGCGCGGATACAACTGAGGAGAGAGGAATGTGGGTCAGGGTCCTTTCCCTACATCTGTCCCCTGGGTTTGGGCAGCCCTAAGTGTGGGGCACTGCCAGCCCCAGTAGGTTCACACCCTCCCCTTACCTTTGAAGTTGGGTCGGATCCGGGCATCGTACCCTGACGTTCGTCCCATGAGCTTGTCCAGGAAATCAGAGGGTGACATGGGCTGGGGTGCACTGCGGGAGTGGGATTTGATCTCCTCCCTCCCTGAGACCAGCCTGCAGACAGAGGGGGGGGGGGCTCAGCTGGCTGCCAGCACCATAAAGCTCCAGGCACAGCCCTGCAGCCCAGGGGAGGATGTGCACCAGCCCCAGCACGCCTCATACCCAAGGCTGGGAAGTGCTTGGGGTCAGGTGTCCCACAGCGAGGACAGAACACAGTGGTGATGGCCCCAAGCTGTGGACACTGGGCTGTCCCTGTGGGTAAATCACCAGCCCCTGCCTGGACCTGTGGGGCTGTGTGGATACAGCACCTCCCGAGCGCTGGCTGCCCCTGGGCAGTGAGGAGGTGACCAGGAGCACAAAGGGGACGGTGGCACCGTGGAGTGACACAGCCAGAGAGGATCAGCACAGCCACGGCGAGGAGCTGACATGAGCTCTCCCACGCAGCACTCCTGATGATGATGGAGACTTATTTAAACTGACCTTGGAGGGGGATATTTTCGTGAACGCATCTCCGCCTGCCAGTTCCTCTCCTTCTGTCAGTTTATAATGATCATTTCAAGGAACAATGCGAGAGACATTCGCTCACCACATTGCCAGGCATGCGGCTGTGATGGAGAGGAACGAGCTGGAGATCTCTGGACACAAAGGGAGCTTTGAGCATGCTGCTGGTGCGTCCTGCTCCCGTTTGAGGCTGCAGACCCCATTGCCACAAGCAAGGGAGGGTGCTGGGGATGGAGCTGGGGCTCTCCTGGAGTTGTGGGCAGGCTGAACACTGTGCTCCTACCTCTGCTCAGAGGAGTGGGAGTCCTCCCTGGAAGAATCTCAGCTCCTCTGAGTACCAGAGCTGGGGGCAAAGGCTCTGCTGCAAGCTGAGCTGCATGTCCCTGGGCACAGCTCACAGGGCACAGCCTCCCCCGAGGGCCCTGGTGCTCAGCACAGCACCCCATGCATTCAGGGAACAGTGGGGCTGGAAAACACTCCTACCTGCCTGAGAACACCATCCCAATGGAAGCGATTTCCGCTGGTGAAATGATGACATTTGGATGCAATTTTCCCCCTCCTCACCACAAAGGCTGCATCCCTCCCACGCTGCCTCAGATACATCAGGACAGGGAGCCCCGGGGGCACTGCAGCCCCCCAACCTGTCCCCTGCATCCTACCTTGTCCCAGTGGCATCTGGGGATGATAGAGAGGGAGGAAGGGAGTCGGGGGCTTCAGGTCCTCCACCTAAAACGTTCCATGGGACCTGGGACTGTCCTGAGCACCCCTCCCCTCCACCAAAATAATAATAATAATAATAATAATAATAATAATAATAATAATAATAATAATAATAATCCCTGATCTGGAAGAAGGTCTGGGCACCTCAGGGGCGTTGCTGTGATGGAGAAAGAGCTGCGTGGGCCATCGCCTGGTGGTCCCTAAGCCTCCTCGGTGAGGGCTGTGCCCCGGGTTGGGGGCTGCAGGGGGCGGGCGGCACCGTGCAGGCAAAGTGCCCGGGGTGCGGGGTCCTGGAGAAGGTCCCGCTGCCGGGGATGGGGGGAAGGATGAATATGGGGGGTTCTACAAGAAGGATCCGGGTTGCTCGGGGACGTCTGGATCGCGGGTAGGGGTCCGGTCGCAGGACTGGCAGAGGACGTTTCGGTCCCGTTTGGGAGAATCCAAGTCCCGGTGGAGGAAACCCGGCTCCCAGAGCGAGGGGGGAGGGGTTGAAGGGGGTCCCGGAGGAGGGAGAGCACCGCGCTTTGCGCTCACCTGAGCGGGCCACGCCGGGGCGGGAGGCAGCCGAGGAGGAGGAGGAGGAAGGCTCGGGCGCCGGTCCGGAGCGCGCCCATCCCGCCGCAGCCAGCAGCCCCGCCGCCCCGGGCGCACGGGCATGACCCGGCCGGTGGCGGCGGTTCCCCCGCACCCGCTCCCGCCGCACCGGGACCGCCGCCGCCCCCCGGCCGGCCCCTCTCCTCATAGTCCGGGCGAGCGGGAGCCCGCCGACAGGCTGCGGGCACTGGGAGCCGGGCGGAGCTTCAGGCCGGTGCGGCGGGGAGGAGGCGGGCGCGGTGTGGGGAGACGCCCGCCCCCGGCACCCACCGACCCGGGGGGCTCCGCCGTGCGCGGTGCCGGGCGGCCGTCGGGGCGCTTCCCCCGAGGGCGCGTCCTCCGCTGGGACTCTGCGTGGCGGGGTGCGGGGCTCGAGGGTTTATGGGGTTGCACAGGGAAAGGGAGGTGCACGGAGCGGGGGGGGGGACACGCAGACCGGACCGGATGCGTTCAGTTTCACGACCAGGGCTGATGGATGAGATGGAAAGGGGATGTGCGGAGGGCGGGGGTGCGCCGGAGGGTCCACCTGCAGCAGCACGGAGCGCGGGATCCTTCCTTCTGCTTGGCTGTGGGGTCTGGGGCAGTTCTGCAGGTGTAGGGACTCTGGGGAAGGGCATAGCATGGCTGCGAGCTTGCTTTTCTTAGCTGCACATCATATGCAAACTCCTAAAATTGCCCTCATTAGGGGCAGGTGAGCTCCTTAGCACAGCCTTCTGCCCCCCATTAGGGGAAAAACAAATGAGGGCAGCCAGGAGCCACGAGGATGGGAATGCAGCTGTGGGCTGAGTGGGCTGACATCAACACCTGGGGTGGCTGAGCAGCACGCACTGCCTGTGGGGGCCTTCTGTGATGAATGTGTGAGGAAGGAGACAGCATGAATAAAGAGAGAAGTGCAGAATAAGTGATTCCTGGTAGATACATCGCTCAGGTTTTCGTTCACCTTACCGCACCTGGCTCGTGTCGTTTATTTGTACTAATTGCATTTGAGTCATGGCTGGGAGCAGCCATGGCTGCAGGGTCCCCCACACGGTGCTGTATGGCAAGAGGGGGGCTGCCGCCCCCCCCCCCCGGTGTCCCCCTCACCCCACAGAGGGGCCGTGCATTTCAGCAGCGCTCTGCTGGACCCCGCGCTGCCTTCTCCTGCCCGCCCCGCCGGCTTTGATGGAGCAGGGAAACGTGACAGCCAGCAGAGCGGTGCCCAGGAGGGTCCTCCGTTGCAGCCGAGGGCCGGGGGGGGGGGGGGGGGGGGGGGAGGCACGGCGCTGCGGGGCGGTGTGCGGGAGGAGCAGCCCCGCTGGCGCGGAGCTGGCAGAAGTCTCCTCCGATTACTGTTGCCATTAACGTTGATGGGGCCGTGAGGTTGTGATTGGGATCTGGAGCCCGGGGCACACGGCGAGCGCTGAGCGGCAGCTCCATCGCAGCGGTGAGCTGAGCTGACACCGGCGGGAGGAGGGGGGCAGCTCTGTGCTCAGCCCACGGGGAAAGTGGGGCATTGAGGGAGGTTTTCCTGCGAGAAGCAGAGCTGCTGGGTGCCGCCACCCCTGGGGGCACACGTCCATCCTCAGCATCCCCAGCATCCCTGTCCCGTTCCCATCAACCTGGCAGTGCCAGGCCCTGCCAACAGCAGCAGAGGTTGGGGCTGCTCAGCCAACGTGATTTCTTCTCCATTCCCTTCTCCATCTCCAAGACACATCAAACTGTTCCCCTGGGGATCTCCTGCCTGGGTCCAGAGCCCTGGGGAGGGCTGTGCCAACCCACCCACCTGTCTTGAGCCCTCTCTGCTGCTCAGCCCCCTCAGTGCCACGGCTGTGGATCTAATCCTGCCTGATCCATGCTGTCATTCTTTCCCAGCCAGCACAACTCCAAGAGGCTAAGGCCTCAAAAACATTCTTTTTATCCCTTTTTTTCTTTCCCTGCAAAAAGGCTGATGGATCCATCTCGGGATGAACAATTGCTGGAGGATCAGTTTGGTGGCACGGAGGGGAGATGAGGGAGGGCAGCAGGCAGCTCCCTGAGCCCCTGGTGCAGCATCGGGGCTGGTTTGGTGCTGCAGGAGCACATGGAGCCTGGGGATGTGCAGCCCAAGCCCTGCTGCCAGCACTGGGCTTCTCCTTTCTGCTGTCAGGGTGGCAATGTCTTGCAGAGGGACAGATGCCCCTAGGCTGGACGCAGGCACTGCTCTCACTGTGCAAACATTTGGAGGCAGCTAATGGGGCGTGAGATTAATGTCACAGAAGATATGCTCCCGAGCGTGGCTGAGTGTGGCCCCATCCCCGTGTGTCCCTGTGTGTCCCCACGGGCTGCTGCTGCATCCCTCAGAGCTTCTCCTCCAGGGCTGCTGAGTGTGGGGCTGCAGAGCTGCTCAGAAATACCTGAATTTGGCCATTTTCACTCATTTTCTAAGGGGAAAACGGTAACGCAACACGAGCTCTGCCTTTGGGAATTTTGTTTTCCAACCTGAACGCACTTGAACCAACTCTAACTTTGAAACAGCCAGAAAGGACATTTTCAGCGGGCTCCTGGAGCCAAATCCTTTCATCTTTATGGGGAACGTGATGCACTCCAGGCCCCCTCAGCTGCGGGGTGCACGGTGGGCTCGGGAGGAAGGGCTCAGCAGTGCTGTTAGGACACAGCGCCGGGCAGGGCGGCCCCGGAGGAGACTGCAAGGTGAAGCGGGCCGGCGGTCCGAACTCCAACCAATGTCACTCTCCAGTTCCGTGGCTCTTTTCCAAGCTAAAAATACCCCTTGTGCCGGCACGGCGCGGGGCGTGCGCTGCATGCGCTGCTGCAGAGGGACCCGCCAAGGGCACGGGGCTGTGCGTCCCACCACCCAGCTGCATGGCACCGGGGGGAACACGGCTGGGGTCTCCTTCTGCCTCCCATCTGCCAGCCCTCATACTGCAGGGCCGCGGCTCCATCCGCCTCCGCTGCGCTCCTTCATCCTGCGCCACGCCGCGCCGTGCTGGGGTCTGCATCCGCAATGGGATTTTGCAGGTTGTGCCATAGGGGTTTGGTCCCCAATGGCAGGGAGGGAACTGCGGGCGGAGGGATGACCCCGTAACCTTGGCAAAGCAGGCACGCTGAAAGGGGAGGTTTAATTTAGATAAGTGTCCAACAACACTCTCGGGGCCGGGAGCAAAGCCTGGCACTGGTGCCAAACCCCTCAGCGGGGTGACCCACCAGGGTGACCCAGCCCTGCCTCATGTTCCTGTCTCTTCTCCTTGTCTGTGGGTCACCCTTTTGCTGCCTTGTCCCCAGAACTGCTCAGCACCGGGGCTGGGTCCCTCCTGCTGCTGGAGAGGATGCTGAGGGGAGGATGCTTAGAGCAGGTCAGGCTGCTCTCATCAGGAACATTCCCATCTCTGCTCCCAGCAGTGATGCTGCCTGCTGAGGCCCCGCTGCTCCCATCACCCACGGCATTTCCAGATGCTTTGGGGAAGATCTGCTGGATTTTGACACCACGAAGCTCCAGCCCACACCTCCCCCTTCCCTGCAGCCTGTGAAAGAGTTGCTGCGCAGCACAGAGGGTGTTGTACCCACAAAGGCATCACAGGAGATGGGGACGGGATCCCCGAGGTCCCCTCCCCACTTTGGGATTCCCATCCCCCTGCATCCCATGCACGGTTGCCATGCCGACAAGCATCCCATGCTGTTGGATGCTGTCGGAGCTCCGTCGGCTTTTCTCGCCTCCACATCTCCGTGCCCCCAGCCCCAGTGGTCTCCGAGGATGGAGCAGAAGGAGCTCAGCGGGAGCGGCGTTAACTGCAGGCTGCCCGGCTCGCCCTAATTGTGAAGGAGTTTTGTGATTTGCTCAAGACCCCCCCGGAGGGCCGAGCTTGGAAAACGAAGCGTTACACATCTGTGGCATCAGGCGGTGAGTGAAGGAATGAGAAATCAGCCTCCCTCCCTCTTAGCCCCCTTCCTCCCCCCCTCGCCTGGCACGGCCGCTGCCGGGGAGATGAAGGATTTGTTTAATTAGACTGCAAACCCTCCTGCTGCAGCACAGATGCAAAAGGCAGTGGCTGCATCCCGGGGCTTCGCGGTGGTGGGGCTGCCATCGTCATCTCTCAGAGCCAACAGTGTCATGGCGTGGGCTGAGGGGACGGGGTGGTGGCTGCAGGGGATGGGGCTTCCCTGCCCTAAGGGCTTCCCTGCCCTATGCTCTGCTATGGGGTCCTGGGGTTCCCACTGCACATCCTAGCAATGCCATCTCTTCTCTGTCCCCACGTCCCGTCCCTGTGCTGGCCTTGGCCGTGGTCCCTGCACAGCTGCTGGCACAGAGGGGTTGCACCACGGCACCACCTCAGCACATTAATAACTGGAGCAGCAAACGCATCCCTGTCCCAGAGCCACCCCAGCAAGGAGACCGCATGGCATCAGGCTGCTGTAGCCACGTGGAGGGGAGTGGAGGGCAAGGGAGGGGGTGGGACTGCTGCTCTCTGCCCGAAAACCAAAGGGATTGGTATGGAGGGTAGGTGGGGAATGCAGAACCAGCATGGGATCTGGGGGAGAAGTGTGGGGCAGGGACAGCCAGGGGGCCCACGGAGCCAAGCGGCTTCACTCTGTGCAGGCACTACCAGGCACCGTTTGTCTTTGCATCCCTGGGTTTTCTGCAAGGTAAATGAGCACAGCTCCAAAAGATGACCCCACGGAGGGCAGACCAGAGGAATGAGCCACCAGGGGAGAGAGGCAGCCGCTGCCCTCCTCAGCAAAGGAGAAAGTCAGGAGATGCGAAAGGCGAAGCTGCTGGGAGGAAGCATCACCACTCCACTGAGCCTCCATGGGGCTGGGGAGCACCGCCTGCCCTTCAGCTCTCCTCCCCATCCCCCAAAGGCCTCCAACAGCTTTGCTTTTCTTTTCCTTAATTTTATCTCTATTAGCACGTTTTGCAGCCTCCCATCCTCCCCTATGGGAAAGGGGGTTCACCCCACCGAGGGGTGGATGGGGGAAAGCAGAAGGAGAGCATCAGGCTGGCCTGGGGAAGTGGCTGTT